CCCATCAAAAAAAAAAAAAAAAAAAAAAAAAACCTCTCCTGCTTGGGGCAGCACATGGCCATGCATCCTGTAATCAGAGTCGCACAACATAGCCCAGCAGCACCCTCCCCTTCCAGGTGTACATTGGCAGGGTTACACTAAGAGGGAGCATCCAGGTGACCGACTTGCTGGTGAGAAAAGAGCAGGACGCAAAAAGGACACATGCTGTAGATAAAAGGAAGGACATCCAAACATGCACCAAGCAAAAGGAAAAGACAGATTCCTGCTCCCATATCTAGTTCTGAGGTGACTAATAAAAAAGAGACATAAAGTTGTTGAAAGTACGCTAGAAGAGAAGTTAAAGTTTAATACGAAGGTGCAAACAAGCCTGTCGGAGCAGAACAAACAATAAAGGAGCAACAAAACAGCCAAACAAGAGCACAGTACTTGTCCTAAATCCTTGAAGCGTTCAAATTCAGGATCAGATCATTTAAAGAGTCAATCATAAATGTTTGCAGCTGCTCTTCTTTGTCCTCTCATCTCTTCTGGATTTGGATACATCAAAAAGCCTCTACCTGAAATTATTCAACAGAGGGCAGCAGTGTGTCGGCTGAACCATCAATAAAAGAAAGCAACTTAATACCAAATGTAGCCGAAAGGACAGACCACCCAACCATTTTTTTTTTCAGTAAAGGCAGCGTATCACGTTGAGGCAGCAGCTATACAACATGCAAACCTACAAGATGTTACACAAGTATACACGGTGCATATGCACTCAAAATGTATATTTCTATTAAAACTTATAAATAAGTTACATGGTAATGAACTAGAGCTGCTCAAAATAAGATAAAAATGCTTTAACTTCATGATGGAACTAAGTACATAAATTCGGTTTTTGCTTAATCTCATCTAGAACATAATTTTCTTGAGACTTGACAAACTAACAAAGGGAAGTTCCTAAAAAGAACAATCTCGTGTTTGCTTAAATGGAACTTAAAGGCTGTGATAAACTGTGTTATCTGGTTTGAAACATACAGTAGCTTGAGTTCTTAATTATTTTGAAACTTGAATAATCTACAACAATAAAAACAAAACATTATTCAAATCAATTCAATTCTTAACTGCAAGTTCCTAGTCTGTGAATGTTCACTGACGACGGCAATAAAATGGATTCTGATTCATTTCTAAAGCTCCAAATAATAAAAGAAGTCAGCTCAGGGCACYACACAAAGAAAAAGAGTCCAAACCATAAATCCAATTCAGTCCAAAACTAATCCGGGTTCAAATGAAATTATAGTTAAATCATTCCAATTTTTATTCACACTATACACATATGAAATGCCAATTAGTACAAGTTATCTGTCCAAGTACACAAGCACAATGTGTCAAATCTTTGTATTCAACTAGAGCTATTTATACATTAAAGCCACTAAAAACAAAGATTTTAAGCAACCTTGCATTAAATTTATTGTGTGTACGCAAAAACTGTTAAAAATCCAAACTACATGATCTGATAATTCTACTACAGCTAAAGAGTAATTCAGATTTCTGCAGATCATAACATGATCGCATCAGATCAGTTTCCGTTATAAATAAATCTCAAAGTTGATGGTAAATTTACCTGGTTTGGCTGCGTAGACGATAAATAAATAAATAAAAAACTAAAATATAGGAGAAGTCAGGCTGGGCTACATGCAGACCACACACACACACTCACACACACACAAACTCTCCTTGCATTAAGTTTGCTCACACCAACACTGCGCACAGACGAACACGCTTCAGGTATGTCAGAGAGCCAATCTTTCCTGAAACTCACCCGGTTTCTTGAGGGTCGGCTCATGAGCGAGGTTGTCTGGTGTCAGTTTGCTCTTATAAACACACACTGCAGACAATCAAGCAGCAGGTCCACCCAAACTGGGAGTGTCTTACTAGGAAATGTCTAAAGCAATTAGTGAATCGGAGAGTGCATCCCTCCCCATCGCCGTTCCGTCCATTCTCCAGCACCACCAACACCTCTCCTCCGTCTCCCCTCCCCTAGAAGGTCTTGTGGAAGAAATCCATTTATGTCGTTTAGTGGTGCGTCTTGTTTCTGCTAACCGCAGCAAATAATATCAGGCCTGAATTATTCACAAAAGCTTTTTGCTCTAAAAGCCTCTGATTGTTGTTCCACAGGAAAGAATGCTAAGAGCTGGACAATAAAGAGTGGATGGGGCTGTGAGCATTAGAAGCACACACGTTTACAGAGGAAAGACGATTCACAAATCTTTAAGCAAAGGATTAAAAAAATTCTTCCTATGTTGAGTATTACAATTACAGACCGCCTTATCATAAGGCTCCCACACACAACTAAGGTAGAGTCTCATTATTATTATTATTATTACAGATAAGACAGCACAGGTCCAGCCTATTAAAATGATTTTGTGTAGATGATTACGTAAAGTCTCTTACTAATTCATGTGACTATGTTCATAAACATAAAAACTACTTTTAAAGCCACTTACTGTGTTCCGGGATGCTTATTATTTGTACATTTCTGGATCGCCAGCTGCACCAAAGCACTCTATTCAGGAGTCTGCAGCTTTACCACAGTCATGTGGTGATAATGTGCTTGTTCGTTAACTATCTATTCAAAAATAAATAAATACATTAAAAAAAGGATAAAAACAAGTTGGCCGATTTCTTGCCATGAACTTGACAAAGTCTTTATGAATCCTGAGAGATGAATTATCCAAATGTGGACAGCTGCAAGYCTCTGATGAATCTTTGGCACCATCATTTTACAGGTAGATGGGAGCGTACTTCAGCTCGCACAGGCAAAGCGGTCATAAAAATCGGAGCTGCACGCACCCGTCTGAGTGGCCCGGTGGGCCTCAGCGGGAAGGAAAATGTGACAAAGCTTGCATCACAGACAGGGCAGGCGCAGGTGGCATGTTTCTGCATCTATCTGTCTATTTTGACATCTTGTCAGTCCAGCAATACCAGTGATCAGTCACAAAGAACTGTTTCTGAAAGATGAGGGTAAAACAAATTAACTTGAATGATTTACAGTAAAGTCGCACAATAATTTAAATGAATTTAAGTTAAAACTTGTCCTTTTAAAAAAAAAAACCTGGCACAAAAATATGCAAGGGTGTTTTGATATGTTTATGTTCAAAGTTGAAGGCAACACACAAACACACACAAGGCAAATTACATTTATGGATTTGTGATTTTTATAGTGAAACACTGTAAGAACGATCTTAAAATTCAAACCATTAAAGTAATGACAAAGCAATTTATTCAGAGTATCTTTTGACAGTGTAGATAAATAAATCAGAAAATCTGAGATCTCTAAGTGATATTGCATTATTGAGATCAACATTCTTCATATAAAACTTAAATAATGACTGATAGGACAAAAAATATTATCAAGCAAACAAAAGATTTAAAATTCCAGCAGCAAATGTTGAGATAAATAAAAACAATCAAACTGCCCTGCATCAAACAGAAAAGGGGATTTAATTAATCCCCTCCATGGACTCCAAAAGAGCACCTTATAAGGACATTTTACACTTAAAAAAGACAGGCGCCAAGATTTAGGGAGAAAAAAATCTGATAGTGAGCTCATTACAAGCACATCCACTCAGTCAGGAGTTTTTATAGCTAGATCAGCAGAATAAGGCCTGATATTATAACCATAAAATATGATCCCTGCTCTAAAGCAGCCGAAAGACTGACCGTCAAATGCTCACTATGAGAAGCACGTGGTCTAGTCAATGAAATCACCTTTCTGATTTCAAGAATGACACACAATGACTTCAACAGAAGCAGCTGACTGCGAACTGAAAACATGTTTGCTCCGACGTGTCTCAAATGTGTAAATAGCAGTTGAGTGAACAATGTGAACCTACGTAAATCTTGTGGAGACATTTCAGACGTACAACAGTAGGCTTCTCAAATGCCACTCATGAAAACAACAACAACAACAAAAAAAACAGTAATAGGAGAAAAAACAATGCAGACCGTAATTGTTTATTCAGAGGTTTTATGAGCAACCTTGTAATAAAATCCATCGTCTCCCCTATCAGGTTTAAGCTGAATATGCAATGGCAGCTAAATAGTAGATGGTCTGTGTTATCTATGCTGCTGAGGATGGAGAGGTGGTTTTAAATGACCGAACGTGTCTTTTCAGCAAGGTTACCATAACAAAACCAAATATAGAAGATGATCTAAATGACATGTAGATGCAAAACTAAAAAAAAAAAATAATAATAATTAAAAACGTACATCAATACACACGTTACAACAAAAACAACTCACAAAACAAACAAACAAAAAAAAACCATCTGAACTTTGAATAAAGCAGGTCTGCATCAAAAAGAAAAAGACCGACTCATTTACAAAGATTTACAGGTACCTGTAGAACTGCAGCTGTCGTTTGGGGCTCCCATAACGAGCGCTGAAGACATCAAGGGAAAGGAGGAAAAGGGAAAGCTTTGRTTAATAAAGGCAGGAAAACAAAGCGTTAGTGGTGAAACGTTTGATACACTAGACGAAAGCCAAACACACTGAGTGGAGGAAAGAGAGAATACGCTGACAAGATGACAGCAAATATTATGAAATTAACTGTAGCTTCTGAACAATAGTTAACAGATCCCGACAGACTACATAAACACCAAAAACAGACCTTGGACTGTATGCACTTCACAAAAATGTCATATCAAACTGCAATCAGCAGTGATTGTGTGTCTATAATGAATGACTTTTACAAGAAAACTCCAACAAATCAGATGCTTTCTATATTAAAATCCAGAAATTCAATCCAATTCAAATGGATGATGCAAATTTACATAACACCAGTGGACCTTAATAGGTATAATGGGGAAATACCTGATATATGCACAAAATGTACAGAAGACAAAGGGACTCTTGCTCACTGTATGTGGTACTGTCTGGAAATTATGTTGTTTGGGAAAGAGGTAAAGAATGTATCTGAAGAAATCATAGCTAAACAAATAATATTGGATCCAAAGTTGTTTTTATGTGGATTGTACCCAGAAAAACATAATTATACTAAAAAAAATTATATGCTTGTGCTTTCTCAATGCAAAAAAATGTATGTTATTGTTTTGGAAAAAGACTCGGACCGAATGCCAGAATGACAGATGTTATCCACCTTCCCTCTGGAAAAGATTGCATGTGCATTAAAGAGCAAGCAGGACTTATTTGAATGTATCTGGAATCCCTTCATTATATATGTTCAAGATCTGACCGTGCCAGAAAATAGTCCAAATGACTGAAGGAGGTGTACACTGCAGTTCCTAATTATAAACAGCTGTTTAAAGATACATACGCAGTTGTATGTGACGATTTGTTATAATTATGTTGTATTGGTGATGGGTTGCATTATAATCAGAATTAAGTGTGGGGCACTTTGTAGGTTTATGTTTGTATTTTGATTTTTGCTTGAACAGTGTCTACATAAAATTACCAATATTGCTTTGTTTTTGATGAATTTTTAAGCTGTATTAAACTGCTATAATTTAAATAAAGATATTTGGCAAAAAAATAAAAAAAATCCAGAAATTCATTCCAGTTACATCCAGCTACATGGACAAATTTTGCACTGACAGATGAAGCCCACCTGTAACCTATTGAAACAAAGATGGACATGGCTTAGATGTTATTCAGACTTGACCCTGTAAACATTTCTGATAGATTTAAAAAAAATGCCTCGTTGTTGTTAGGAAGACCAAATAACAAAAAAATGAGCAAAGTGGGAAAAAAAATAAAAACTATGCTGCAAACTAATTCAAAGTGTTTATTTTTATAAGCAGTATTTCTATGTCCAAAACTCAAAATATCTGCCTCACATAAAACTTAAAGGTCAACCTAATTAACTGTATTGTGCAGATAAAAATCCCTGTTTTTGGTTCACACTGAAGATTAAATCAGACCTTCAGCACAATTCTTTTTTTTATTTAATGAATTTTCCTAC